ATTTTTAATTCCAAAAATCAGTACCTTACTCTCCTCTACCTCAGACATTCACCAACACCATACATAAACTGTATTTCATTTAAAAAAAAAGGCAGCAACAACATAACCCAAGCTGAATTCCTCCATCACAGTACTTGCTCCCCAAAGCTTGGGGGCTATGAGCACGTACTGCTGCATGAGCATCAGGCACCTAAATGTCTTTGCACTGATCAGAGAGCCTCTCTTGTGCACAGGGACAACTCTACAGAAGTGGGATGCTGCACGGTGTGCAGAAAATGGTCCTGGAGAAGTGCATAGACCCATCTCACAGGGAGGGACAGGTGATAGGAAGAGCCCTGAGTCTTCTCCTCTCTTGGTACGGAATGAACTTCATACCAGTTGCCTGCTAGTTTTTACAACACTAACAGTGCTCCATTAAGGCAGTAAGTCTTAATGAAGAGAAGTGCTACAAAAAGCCTTTCCTGATGGCATAGGTGAGGGCGTTTTGGTTTTAAAACAGGCTGAGGGATCTGTTACGGTTAACCAGGGCTAACTGGTACACTAACTTGAAAGTGAAGGGAAACATTGCTGTAAAGAAACTTTGCACATTTAACGAGCTACAGCAAGGTGAGCTTAACTCCTCTGTAGGGTGAAGAGATTGACCAAGCAGCTCAGCAAGCCCAATCATCAGTGCAGACAGCATCCTCACAGCCCTAGTTACAATAAATCAACAAAATGATTAATACAGGGATCCACCTACTGTCCTTCAATCCATGTCCAGTCCATGGATGGAATACACACACCCCTTTTAATAAATAAAGAATTCAGATGCAAGAAAACTGCTTGTCATGGCTTTGATTTTAAACACTGCCTCCAGTTGCCATGATTGTCACCACAACAGCTGGTTAGCAGTCCAGAGAAACTTGGCCCTAAGAACTCATGTCAGCTTTAACACCATTTCACAAGGGCTTTGTCCTTTGGAGGGGGGGGGAAAAAACAAACACAACCCACCTCTAGGCACCAAAATTAAGGTTTCATCATGGCTTTCTCTCCCCCACCCCACTCCAACATCAACAAGATTCTGCAGAGGCCCTGCCAGCATCCCACAGCTACAGCTCCTCTTATGCAACTTTTGCTCACAAGAGTTGTAATCACTCCTCCTAGATCATGTTCCAGATGATAAAAGTGTGAGCCATTGCTGCAAACAGAAATCCTTTTGTCACCAGAAAAGCGTACTTGAAAAAAACAAGCAGCTGAAGAGTTTTCATCTTTTCAATCCTAGAAAACAGCACACCATCACATTTTAGATGCAAGTACTTCTGTTAATATGCACATATTTGAGCTAATTAATAAAATCATGACAATAGACTCAGTTCTGAATTTCAAGTCGCGTTGTTACATGGCAAAATAAGAACCTAGGGATGCAGACAAGAAAAGACATTTACTACTGCAGGCAACTGCAACGCTACAAACATCTTCAGCAAAATCAGTGCTCTGCCATATTACAGCAAGTACAAATTGATCCATCCTCCTAAGTCTTGCACAGAACAAGGGAGAACGTGAATCATAGAATCATAGGGGTTGGAAGAGACCTCAAAAGATCATCCAGTCCAACCCCTCTGCCAGAGCAGGGTCACCTAGAGTACATCATCGTCAACTTACAGACACAGAGCAGGATCACAAAGGCACTGGGTGACTGGGTGACTTCCTACATCAGAAGCTTCAGGCTGTGAACTAGTGTGTATCTCTCCAGCTCACTACCTTAACCATCAAGGCAAAGCAGTCTTCCTCCCTGATAAGGTACACAGTGATACACACTGAAAGAATCCTGTGTTTTATTGTAAACAATAATGCTATTCTGAAAATTAAAGCCTCTCAGTTTTCTTAATGTGACAATTAGATGATGGAATGAAGTGACAGGTCCAGTTTCTCATTAAGTCACTGGCAACACCACATTACTGAGTTGCGTTGAGAGGAGCTGTTGCCAAGACAAAGCGATAGGAATGAAAGATGAAGCGTTTGAGAAGCATTTAATTTTGTATTCCAGGCTCTTCCACTGACTCTTCATGCAGCTGGAGCAAAATCAAAAGGTACCTACTTGCCACACTGTCCTATCTGGTGTATTTGGTATGGACCAAGACTTTCCAGTTCAAGAAACACAACAAATTTACACAGTGCCTTATGTACCAAGTCCAAGATCATCTTTGGTGCCTCTATGGTAACAAACAGGAAAAGTGCAGTCAGATGAACGACGGGGACCAGAAGACTCATTCAGAGGATGCTTAAAGTGTCTCCAAATTAGCTGCGGTAATAGCCTTAAAAGCGATTCTGGCAGCTGTGCACACCTGGCTGGACTGAGAGAGGGGATTGCAGATCAGGCTCACTGCTGGAGAAGTGACCTCTGTCAATCTCACAAAGTTCGAGGGTGAGCAGAAGGATACTGCCTCCTAGGGGACAATAAGGGATGAATAATGAAGTATATGAAATAAGGCTGTAAAATGGCAATAGCCCAGCAAGGACACAGACTGTCAAAACTCACGGTGACGAAGAGGGACAAAGGAAATGCCGCTACGATTTTGCAACATCAGAGCACACAAGACTCCCACCCAAAGCAGGTCATTTTCTTGAGTACTTTAATCGACAGCAGGAGGTGGTGTCATAGTGCAGCTGTCAGACATCTCCTGGAGATGCATATCACAAGGCTTGTCTTCAGCGGTAGTATGATTTGGCGCAACAGAGACAGTAAAAGAGGTTAAAACTTTAATTTAAAACTTTGCCAACAAAAATTGATTACAAAAGGGGAAATTATCTGTACAAAATAAGAAAGGAGGTACTCAGTTAACAAGAGACTGCCATTGTCAGTGTATGCAAGAGGACAAACAGTGCTTCAGGCCAAGTGACAAGGGAGAAATGAACAACCGAGTTCATAACATGGAATTCTGAAATGAATTTTTCCATAAACCAAAGTAAATTGACCTGAAGCAGCTCAAAAGTTAATGAATACTTGTCAGAAGTCTATTTTCCTTGCAAACTTTCTCCCCTTGATTTAGAAAATGAGGATGCACTAGAAAGCAAGACCCAGTACAGCACACTGGGCCAGGACAATGACTTTTGCCATGCTTCCTCCCACTCCAGCCTTCCTTCCAGCCTTCTGTACAAAGATTTTCTCCAATACGAGTGTGCCAGGATTTTAGTTGAGTCAAATTACCGCATCTTCATGTAAAACTCGGTTCCATCCCGACTCAAAACAAAGACAAATGCTTTGGAGACAGTGATATTACTATGACTAAAAAGACCAGCTGCATCAGAACTCCTATAGAAACGATGGTGCTCAGACTTTTCAAGTTAGCATCCCAGCAGCTGTCGGTCAACAATAGATTAGTATTTACAACACTGCAGTGCCCTTTTCTACCTACCATTCTTTACAAGGAGACAAAAGCATCTTTAAAATTCACCACTGAATCGACAAAAACAGCAGGTGATCTCTGAACTCCAGGTTCCTATAAAACCTAAGCACACAATATGATCATTACCAGTTTTCTACATTTTTCCACAAGCCAAATCAACAAAATTGAGTTGCAGTGAAGAAATGGAGCAGGCATTTTTCAAGCAAGCCAGTTGAAAAGTTCCAGTCCGACTGCATATTTTCCCCTCACTTTCACATCACATCATACTTACAAGTTTATAAACCTTCAGAATTCAGGCTTAGTGAAGAAAAAGTAGTAATAAAAACGTTTTGGCCCAGATTCACTTCAGCTACTTACAGATACCTGAGATACCTACGCTGGGGCAGAACAGCTTTATGTACATTATCTACGCAGTAAAGACAGACATGCTAAAACGAAATTGGGTTAGTGGCTTGGTTCTCATCCTAGTGATGATGCTCTTCCCCCAACTACAAAAGTGAGCAACTGTATTCCAACTCAGAAGTCTTGGTTAAGCTTAGAGTAATTGCACTCCTAGCTTACGCATCGGCATTGATGTGAACCTAAGCTCTACCTTGCTCACTGGCAGCTCCCACTCAGGGGAGCTGGGGACAGCCACCTTTACAAATGCTGAGATGTGCAAGTCCTCCTTACAGCTGGGAAAATTGAGATAAGTAAGAAGTTTGCTCAAGTCCATGCAGTGAGTCAGTAAAAAGCAAGCGTTACAGCTTCCTGGATCTTTGCCCTGTGGCTCTGCCCACTGGAACCCAGTATGAGGAGAAGTACTGCACAGAATCATTCCCTTTTCCATGTCAAAAAGTATTACCGAAAAAGTAGAGATACTAATAAACAGCATACATAGTTTCTTATTTGACAATGAAAGTCCTGTAGTAAAGCAATCTGTTCTACCGTATCTTGACTCTGGAAAAGTTTTATTTCCAGCTTTGATTCTTTGATGTCTTAAAGCTTTTAAGAGAAAGCTGAAGATTCCATTGACAAGCAGAAAGCTCTAAGTCAGTACCCTTTACATTAACCACAATGATATGTAACATTTTCTAGTTTAAGTAGTATTTGTGCTACCCAATTTTTTGCAATCGAAATAGAAACCTTGAAGCAAAGAATTCACAGATCTCAGTCAAGAAAATTAAGCCAAAAAAACTTCAGTTTAAACAGAGCAAGCCTTGTAACATGCCATGAAGAGCTGAAAGATTTCAGTTCTGTCCAAACATTATTGCCATTTCAAACAAAAGCCTTCTCATCTTTAGTCTTGCCTGGCCCATGCTGTAGCAGGTAGGACAAATTCTGCACAGCAAGAAAAAACTCCCCTCAAAACACAGCTTAGTAATGGGAATGAAACGTTTGCATTTTGCTTTAGGAATGCAGCAGGGAGATATCACTTAAATGAAGGTTCCAAAGACCCTGGGACTTAGCCACAGATATGGAAAGAGTCATCTTCCTAAACTTTGGGATTAGTTTGATCCATTTGCCTCACGTTGGACTCTCATAGCCAACAAAGCTTCTACTTACCAGGTGAGACTGAACACCATTAGCCTGTTCCATCACATCATGGAACTAGACAGCCTAATTGCTGCCCACTGCAACAGACAGAAAATACTGTATAAAGAAGACTTTTTTAAATGGCAGAATCAAATAGGACACTACTGGCTAACTTGGAGCATGAGCTACATTTTTCCCTTCTGGAGTTTTTAATTTTCTCTCAAGCCAGAAACATTCTTTCAACTCAGATAAATCCAACAGTACTACAGAGAGCTCAGTTCTTAAGCATGCTCTGCACCAGGGAGGGTCAAGTCCTGCACCCAATTAAAACCAAAGAGCTGCTTCCCAAGGGCAGGAGGTTCTTCACTGGTCACCTAGACGGAAACCTTGCCCCCAGTTGTGTCTTCCACCACCCTGCTGATCTTCTGCAGCTCTTCTCATGCTAGCAGGTGGGACACCAAACCCCGACACTCCTCCTCTCCTATTTGGCAGCCAGCGGTACCTAGGACAAGCCAGAAGAGAAGGAGAGAGTTTAAGGAACAGTTGTACCTTATGGGTAAATACCAGACTACTTTTCCACGCATTTCCTTTTAGCTATGAGATTTTGCAATAAAACTGGCTTTTCACAGCAGTACTTCACAGGAATCTTCCCAAATCTAAGCCCTCAGCACAATGAGAAATGGGAATTCCAGGGAACTTCCATCTCTAGGATATGGTTAGATACAATAATGCAAACACAGAGGGAAAAAAACACACATCAGGGAATCTCATTGTTGAGACTAAATGCTGTGATACAAATTTAATTCCCTTAACTTCTCTCCATTTCTTTCAGAAGAAATATAAAAATATCAAAATAGCTTCTTAGTATCTCTCTTCAGTAGTTGCAACGCTCCTGTCATCACAGCATCTAGCCATCTCCCTGCTCTCCAAATAAACATTCCTGAGGAACTGAGAACCAAAGGAACTAGGGGAAAGAGGCTCAAGCAAACAGCTTGTCTGCAATCAAAACTCAAGTGACCAGGCCAGAGTAAATCAGAGTTGTAAGAATTCATTATCCAACTTAGGCTACCATCTAAATAGGCATCTAAAATACAGCTTCTGCCTTTTACCAGGGATGTCATTAATTCAGAGTCATTTCAGCTTTACAACAGTCACACTGAGCTCCTGAAAAACACTTGCTGAATTTGACCACTGAAAACAGAGGCCCGGACATAAAACCCAGATTCCTTTCTGATAAGAAAAATGACCCTGTACAGAAAAAGTCCTTCACTATTCAAGGTGTCCGTAACTTACCACAGCATCTTTTTTTAACAAAACATTACAGTGTAAAGGCAGACTTTAACCCTTTACAGAGATTTCTGCATTACTTCTGTTCTTTCTTCCCAAATATAAAGAAAAATTAAATACACATAGAGGAATTGCATGTAACCAGCAAAATTGATGGCAGTTTCAGAGCTGTTATTGCCTTGAGAGACACTCTGAAAAAATATTTTGTCTTCTAATCTTTATGGAAAATTAGGTTTAGCAGAAGGCCTTGCAAACACAGAAGTAGAATATAAAGCTGCCCTCCTCATTAACACTTGTACAGAAAATGTAACTAATTCAACTTTGCATCTTCTAATTAACAGCTTATCCTATAAAATGGGTTAACCCAGTTGCTAACTAAAAGAGGGAATATTTACAACCCAAAAGGATGTGGATAAAGGTAACTGAAGCTACAAATGTCAGCTTCTGATCATAGTATTTCAGTGCCAAAGCAATAAACAGATAAGAAAAAGCACTTCAGAACCCAAGACCTGCAGTCTTGGTCACAGTTGCTGGTACAGACTGCAAAGCAGGACAAGTATTACAGCTCTGAACAAGTCTATAGCTGACTTCTATTACTGTCACAAGCTGGCGAACTGGTAGCAACTGTAATGCTTCATGGAAAAAACAGAAAAAAAAGATCATTTACAGGAGAACATTTTTTTGGTACCACTTGATAGTTGTTAGCAAGCTGTCTACTGGAGCTCAATTCACTAGCAGAACTATGACTTAAGAGCGTGCAAAGGACATAAGCCAGCCATAGAGGTAACATAGAACTCTCACGTGGGCCATCCACAAGAAACTCAACATTTCTGACAACTTGGCAGCACAGTCAGTATGACAGTCTGAAGCAGGTTGATTTAGGAAAGTATTTTACACCTTACAATCACAGCAAATATATGTCTGATGAGCAATACAGAAAATTGGACCAAACAGTGTGCTAAAAAATAAAGTCAGCTTACAGGAACTGAGGTGTGGACAGAAAATTCCTTCCTCCCAAATCCATTGGATATTTAAACATTAAGAAGAAATATAGATGTCCAACCAGATTTCCTATCAGCTCATTGATAACTCTGCAAAGCAAAAGAAAGAGCTGTTAGACATGGCACCTTTTCTGAAAATAAACAAGTGATAATCTGCTGGTTACTACCGTTCACCTGCCATGGGCACTGCTGGGGCTGTGAGCCACAGAAAATTTCCCTTCCCTCAGCATTTTGCAGCCATTTCTTTAGAAGTGCCAACCTTCAGTGCCAACAAATCAACAGGCTGTTCCACCTTCCTTTCCAAGCCTTCTCTACAGTCTGTACTGAAAATGCAATTAAATACTTGTTTACATCAGGGAATTAGACTGTACAGCTATTAGTGACTAAAATATTAGTCTGTGGAGCTTGAGAAGTTACTGCTGGTTTTGTTGGACAACCCATCTCCTGCTGTACTGAGCTGTTTTGTTCCCAGTTTTGCAAAACCTCTGCTGAATGGGGGCCCTTGAGTATCTTCCATCATGCATAGAAACAGCAGGTACCTAACAGCAAGTACGAACAGATGAGTCAGTAGGAGGCACAGCCAGAAAAGGGAATTGGTTTTGCTGTTCTATCTCCTTCTTTTATAAATCAGCCACAAAAGTTGTTATTGTCACTAATTGTGTTACAGCGGCACCAAGAGGCCCCAGCCAACACAGGGCACCAATGAGAAAGCCCATGCACAGAGGGGATTTCTGCATCACGGAGTTTAGTCAAAGAAACCCAACACAGACCAACCAATTCAGCAAGTGCCATATGACACGGCACTCTGAGCTTGATATTGCCACTCCCCTCTGTGCCACAAGCGAAAAATCCATCACATTGGGCAAGACTGTGAGGGAAAGAAGTAACAGCACTGTCAGAGTCAAGCTAAATTTGTTTCTAAGACAGGTAATGATTGCTGGGGTGACATCTTTCTTTGTTGTGCAGTACTCTTTTACTAAGGAAAAGGCCTAATGCATAGATTTACTAGAAACTAAACCAAATTCTTATTACTTTCCCCTCACTTAAACTCTCTAGTTCTCACACAAATCTCCTCTTCGCTTTTACCTGAAGTGACCACCATATGACACTGAGCATTATCAGTTAGATTATACAGCTTTAAGCCTTTTATTTTAATATTGCTTCTAAGTTCAGCCACAAGTTCAATAGCTGTAAAAGGTTTTATATAACTTCAAATTGGTCATATTAGGAAATACATACGATCCACCAATGATGTAGTTGAATCCCAGAATAACCCATGGAAGGTAACAAGCCTGAAAAAGAATGTAATGGAGATAGAGTTTTAACTACCAGTTATGAACATAAACCTGCTCAACTCACCACTGCACTAACAAGCATGATTCTAATCTAAATGTTTTAGGCATTACACAAAGTCACACTCAAGCATTATAAGTAAATGTGTCTTTTACACTCTGTTCCACAGCAAGCTTAAATCTGAAAGCTTACAAAGAACTGGTATTTCAGATTTTTAAAAGGTCTGGAAACAATGATTAAAAGAGTTTTCATCACAAGATCTGGCAAGAACAGACAAGGTTGTACAGGAAAGAACAATTGAAATATCAACATTTTGTCACTACCGTGTCACTACTTTCAGCTTTTATCCAAGGTTAACATTTATATGGATTTTTTTTCCCCTCTTTTCAAGCCCAATGAATTTCAGCTGTCAGGACATCTTCTCAGTAAAGTCACACAGTGTGACATCATATGGAGAACCATGAAGAAATCTTTGTTCCATCTCAAGGAGAATAGAACTATGTGAAAACATGAGACATACTTAAGATGAGAAAATATTTATATTTTGCCCTTCACCCCTTCAAGTGCATCTTCTGGGCAGAAATCTTCCCAATATCCTGTCTGACATACCTTAAACCTTGTTCCAAACCAAAACGATACAATCATGTCTCTGTTCAGCTGGGCCCACACGTAAAGTACTGACATGATGAGTGGAATCATCAGCAACTGCAATGTTAAAAAACAAACAAAAAAACCCCATTTTTTTTTTCAGGCAAAAAGTTACCATCACAGAAGCCTGAGAAACTTAAGCAGGCAGCAGGAGATATAAGCTTAAAAATGGCTTGTAAGTGTGGTCCATCAGGAAAAATCTTTAAAGACTGCCACAGAACCTTTGCCATCATGTGTCATGGATCTGTTCAATAGCTATGGAGAATCTACTTGGTCATCCTCTTCTGCAAGAACACATCAAAGCAAAGGGCTCCAACTTGCACCTAGTGAAAGCACAGCTGTGAACTCCTGTGCTCCCAGCTGCTTGGTAGCCCAGCTCCAGCGCAGTCAGCGACACACCTGTGCCACCAGCACGTCCAGTCACAGCCCAGGACACTAACCCAAACACACACCTGGGGCTAAAGCTGATATAGCAGGTGAAGTGTTACTCCATTGAGTCACCAGCTTCATCCCCCTCAGAACACCACAGAGGGAAGAGGCACCAGCAAAACACTATTTCAGATACTGCAGCCAGCCCTGGCAAAGCCAATTTGGAAGACCTCAGAGTTAATCTGTACTCCATGCCAGGAGATGAGACTATTTCCAATACCTCCTTACTCTGGCTAATTAGCTATTGCTAATTAGACTATTTTCAGTGAAACAAACATAAAGCACCATTTTAACTATCTGCTGATTTCAGAACTGACGACAGACTGTACCAGCCACATTTCCATGAACTGGTTTACCATCCACCTTATGTGTTTGGGAGAGAGGTTAAAACACATCCCTTGGGGGGTGCTGCTATTCAGCAGGTCCCACACCAAAGCTGGCACACCAGCATCAGCCCAGCCTTCCCCAGGCCCTGCAGCACACCCCCAGCTTGATTCGTCTCACGGGCACCGGAGGGTCTTTATTAAAGCCATTTCCACTTTACTGGAAAAACAAAGTAGCATCTAATTTCCTGAAGTATTTGACATGGGAACAGAGGCCCAGCTATTCTACTTCATCTTCTCAATCAACACAAGCAGAAAAACCTTATTTGTAAGAAAACCACATTCATACATCAAACAACCGATTTTTAAGCAATACTTTGTATTCAGATATTTTAAGTACCTTTTTAAAAAGATACAAATCAACACTAATCAGTCTAAAATTCATACAATGTTTAAGTGTATTCAGCATGCTTTTGAAGAATTTTGTGGTGTCTTCCTCATAGCAAAAAAAAAAATTAAATGCAAAGTTACTCCAGCCCTTAACAGAACTGAGTCCTGACAGCAGATGCATGATCCCTGTTTTTGTCTACCGGGGAGCCTGATAAGTGATCTAATAAATGTTCAGATAATATTGCACGGAGTATTAGAGATATTGGTGGAAGCTTTGGGTAGTGGGGACGGAATAAGATGAGGAGAGAACAGCAGAGGAAGGCTGAATACATGCAGTTACCTGGTGCTCTGTTGTGTCCAAGAAACACTTGCCCATTTTCACCCATAATATCTGGGGAGATAAGAACTACCTCATTGAAACTGGTTCTGTAGATCACTATTCTAATCATTCTTGTGAAGATTTGGCACTTCACAGTTTTGATCTGAAGCTGCATTTTTCACAAAAAGATCTTCTGTTGGCAAGTCAGAGGCTCAATAAACTTAAGACTGATGAACCCAAACCCCATTTTTAGATAAAGAATGCAAAACCACATTCATTAGAAGAAACAGTGCACAGGTGACATCTTGTGTCCACTTCAGTAAAAGGCTGAACACTTCTGACTGCACAGGGTCAATTTTCATTCAACTCCCTAAATTAGGAGTGGTCGAGTCAGGTACAGGCTTGTGACCTTAGAGTCTCACCCAAAACTAAAAAACTACCAAACCACACCCAACAGTCCATTTTGATATAAACTAAACCAGCCTAGCTTATCTGCATTCTGCAGTTATGCCAATAACGCTCTCTGTAAAGTCACTAGGTAGCCAGAAAGTTCCATAAGATTATCATTTAAGAAGCTGCACTGCACTTACCTGCATGTCCATTGCCAGGCCAGTTATCTGTCATCGCACCATTAAGGAAGACACAGCAAACCTGATAGACTAGAACAAAAAGAAGCTGCACACACACTGAACACGCATGCAAGGCCTTCAACATTTAAAATTAAAACAACATTCCTGTGTAGTATTAAGTTAACCACTGGAAAAAATTAAAAACATTCAGTGAACTACAGACTTACACACTTAGTTTCAGTAACTGGTTTTCAGTAGCTTTCAAGCTGCCACCTCAAATCATCACCCCAAGGCCTGTCGGATGCACTGGCCTTCCCTCCATGGTGAAACTGGCTAACTACAAACTCAGTCAGTGTTTGCATAAAAGCATGTTACAGGTTTCACAGCTGGATTCTTCCATTAGCTTTTTTAAAGACTAAAATAATAGGTTTTCTCACTGATGAAATACCAGATCATTAAAAAATTTCAACAGATTGCCACGGAATCAGAGAAAATAAATAATGTCTTGAAGGGCATCAATGAAAGTTTTTAATACTACTTTCCTACCTTGTTACCCAAAGAATCTACTTGCTGTATTAAATGTTGAGTAGAATAACTGCTGAAGAATTTTGCTACAATCAGAATGCTTTTAACAGTTCATAAATGTATATAAAACGGCACCAAGCATTTCTCCAGATCACACATCCAGATTTCTCCTTACATCATATAGGGAACAAACAACTGGAAACTTTTAAATCATCAGTTTTAAAGTCAAGTCACAATCAGATTTATCTAATAGCTCACAGGCAACAACCTGCAACTACAACGAAGCCGACGGTTTTCTTAACAACACAACCAAACCCGCTCTGTTGTTTTCCTAGGTACTGCTGTGGCTCAACAGGATTAGCAGGAACAGCAAATCCTGCCATACAGTGGAACGTGACTAGAGAAAAGGTAATCTACTGATAAAGGTAACAGCATTTCCACACACTAGCTTTCCTGGCTGGATCTGGTTCACACTGATGTCACTACTCCCCTTTTTCCACATGCTGTGCCACTGCAAATTGCTACAAGGAGGTGGAAACAGCAGATAGAATGGGAGCATCACAAACAATGGAGGTTCTACAACTGCCCTTTGGCAAACCATGACAGTATTTGACTGCCCTTACAGTAAAAGGGTCTTATATTTAAATGGAATTTTTTGTGTTTCCATTTGTACCTGTTCTCTCTTGTCCCATCACTGAACACCACTGAGAGAAGTCTGGCGCCATTTCCTTTACTCCCTCCCCATCAGGTATTTATCCACATGGATAACACACCCCTGAGTCTCCTGTTCTCCAGGCTGCACAATCCCAGCTCTCCTCATGTCACAGATGTTCCAATCCTTTAATCATCTTCACAGCCCTTTGCTGAAATCACTCCTCTATGTCCATGTCTCTCTTTTACTTGGGAATCTGGAGCTGGATGCACAAGAGCCGAGCACGCAGGAGCAATCACCTCCCTCAACCTGCTGGCAGTGCTCTACCCAGCACAGCCCAGGAGCCTGGGGGACACTTTTGCCACAAAGGCACATTGCTGGCTCATTGTCAACTTGGTGTCCAGCAGAACATCCAGGGCTTTTTCTGTCAAGATGCTTTGCAGACTGTCAGTCACCAGCCTGTCCTGGTGCCTGAGGCTGTTCTTCCCCAGGGGCAGGACTCTGCACTTGCCTTTGCTGAGCTTCATTCGATTCCTGACCAGCACATTTCTCCAGCCTCTCAAGATCCCTCTGAGTGATAACACAACCGTCTGGTCTATCAACAATCCCTCCCAGTTTTGTATCTGAGACCTAAAGAAAATTCAGGTAGAGCAGCACAGCTCATGGAAAAACTGTTTCCCAATGCTCCCAAATCAACAAAACCAGCTTCTTCAGGAAGCTGGCTCAGCACAGGTATTCCAAGACTGCTTTCACAGACTCAACTTACTTGTACTCAGCAGGTAAAAGATCTCTCCATGAGGCACTCTGGAATTTCCAGTTCAGGGCATGACAGAGATCAGACCCACCTGCACATAGCACCTTAAATACACTCTGAGTCCAGGCAGCAAGCCACAGAAGTGGCTAAATGAAGCAGTACAGCAAACACCACGGAAGCTCATGTAGCACAAGCTGAGTTTTACATAAGCAGAACCCTAATCTCCAAATTACATACTTATATTAGCACTTTTATTAGTATTCTCCCTGCAAGCCACTTGCTACCTTTCCAGGAAGATTAAAAACTCACCTGTGAACATTTGCTACACTTTTAGCAAGTAACTAACATATTCTGTAACTTTGATGATGAGCAGAAGGATACAACAATGCAGATCCAGTTAAACAGGAGCATGAACATGTAATCTGCTGGCCTTCCATCAAAAGCCCCTGTAAATAAAAAGAATTGTTAGGAAAGGTGTTGAAACCTTGGTAAGACTTTAAGACTTTTTTTGCGTTTAGGAGTCTCAGAAAAGCCTCATTAACAACAGTTGCTGTACATGCAGTCTGTGGTTTACAATTTGTATTTTATTAATTTTAAATGGCCTTACAACGTAACAACCTACAGGATCAATAATAGGACATTCAGCCTATTGCATTAAGTGCACACACAAAAGACCTACTTAAAAAAATGAGACACTACGGAGATCAGTGGTTTTAACTTCACAAGACTTCAAAATGGAGATAGACCTTGGCATTCACAGGAAGCTACCAGTGAGAAGCACACAATAAGGAAATACACTTGCACAGCAGAAGTGGAGACACCAAGTTTAACCACCGAGTCACGTGAAAACCAGTCCTTACTTGGGCACATTGCATCCTCTTTGCTTCATCTGCTCAGACTCGAGAGGTATGATAGTTTTTAACTTTAGAAAAATTAACATATATAACAAGGAAGGTACAGATGTTCAGTGCATTGCTCCTTCTCCAAAGCTGAACTGCTTGCCTAAATTCCCATTTCAACCTTTTTTCAGGACAGATGAAACAAAAAAATAGAAAAACATTCTCTGCAGGTCATACTAAATTAAATTATCTTTAGATGTCCATCTGAGCTTGGGACTTGGCAGAGAGAAGGGTTAAAAACCCAAACCCCTAACAGCTCCTTGTGAACACAGAAATTGTAAGCTCTCACTCCTGCAAACTGTGGTGAAAGGCTGGGATGGACCTCAGCATCCGAGCCAGACTCCATGAGCCATCAGAGACCCAGGCTGGCCAGGGAAGCCTGAGGAGGCCCAGACCACACAGGGACAAACACACTGCCTCATGAACACGCTGAATCACATGCTAATAATTAAACATCTAATTGCCAAGAAAAAAGGCCACTGCTTAAATGTTAGCACTATACAAGAATTACTAATGTTACCCTACAACTGCTTTATACATCCCCAAAAACTTAAAGAAAGAAAAATTTCTTTTCAAGCATTTGCTTTTTATAACTAGAGCAACTCAGCCTATGTAAAACAAAAAATGGTATTTTTGTCATTTGATTATTTAAGTTCAGCCATGCAAGTTACATGACAGAGCAGTGGGGGGATGGACGGCCAACAAAAAAATGTTGAAAAGTCTTTTGGAAAGTTCTAAAGTTGGAGAACTACACAAACTGGAGGTTTGTCCTCACTGTTGCCATACAACAAATTGAAACAAATAAAGAAAGGAAGCTGACTAACCTTGCAGAAACTCCAGCACAGGAATTCCTCCAGAATAGGAAGAAAAGCAAGCAAGTATTCAGCTTCTCATTATTTATAAGACTACTAAGTAGATGAACTATTTAAGTTGACTTTCAAATGAGTATCTAAGAAAACTGAGCTACAGACTGCCAAAAAGTTCAGCAGAGAGCCAAGGTGAGCTCTAGCCCACCAGGTCCTTTAGCAGGGTGCTGGGTATAACCCAGTCATCAGGGAAGAGCTGCAGACTGATAATTTCATCATTCAAACTGCTGGCAAGCAAACTACATATTTTGCTTTCTCTGTTAATATTTGTGTTCTTCTCCAACAGAAACAAAACAACTAAATCAATCTCCTTTCCCTCAGGAATCCACAGGTCACCTTGTTAGAAAAGCAGAAGCACAGTATGAAACCACACATTTCTGACAGCTAAATTTGAAGTTAGCAATGCAGCACCAGCATGTGCTCAAAAACCAGCACAACCCTGAAAGCAGAAGTTTCACTTCTAGTTTCACAGACAAAAGAAGAGACAGACCTATGCTGATTTCCAGCTGTAAACATTATCAGCACCTTCTACATCCCCACTTGCAGAAGGATTTGAGCCTTTGTAGAGGAAGGACCAACCTAACCAAGAACTTCATTTATACCCAGACAAATGACTGCAGTATAAAAGCAATGCATCTATTCAAACCACAACACAGCTGACTTCCCAGTTTCAAAAGCCACCTGTTGTACAGCAGAAATGGAAATCCACTGGGGTAAAAAGGACTTCCTTCCTTGAGGCTTCTGCCACAGCACAGGTAACTAGAGCATTTTGTTAATTTGTGTACAAGCAGTGATGTCTTACAATGTGCATATACGAATTAGGGATTCATGCTACCTGTAGCTTTGCACAGCAGCCTGTCACACTGACAGTACTCTCGTGTGATCATAGGCTGCCGCAGAAAGGCTCAAAGAGAAGGAGGAACTGTTTCTAGCTATTAAACCACTACTTACTTTCACTAAGAAAACAAAATACAATCTGGCACCACTCCTCCCTTTCCTTGCTACTCTTCTTACAACTCAAAAGGGACTCCACAATACTCTCTGGATGATGGGTTTACAGGGATCTCTTCTCTGCCATAGCACTTCCCAAACATCACCTTGCAATGCATTACCACTTATACCACCAGTGCTGAGACTCCATTAAAACTACACTGAAATTCTTCTCCATAAAGGCCTTCACGTGGAGCCTGGGTTTGCAAATACTTTACTTAAAATGAAATTGGTTTTGCTTAGCTTTAATGAACTATGCAATGCAAAATGAAAGCGGCTTTGAAGCTATCCCTTAACAACAATCTCTTTTTTGAGAGAAATTATTCATTATCTGGTTTCCTTTCCTCCACTCTTGATTTTCCCTCTAACTGAAAATCTAACTAGTTCTGTAACTTTTTCACATTTCTGTTTGATAGAGGGGTACACTTCAGTTGTACAAGATATCTCTCAATTCAACGTAACTGATAGAATAACACAGGTAAGCTTCACTGCCTCTAAAAAACAGGAAAAAATGATGTTATTTTCTCAAGATAGATATATCTATTATTACATACGCTCTGTCATCCTTATGTGCTAAAGGACAACAAACACCACAAAATAGAAGTAGTGCCCTCTTTTAGTCTCTAACCCTCATTTCTTGAAATCCAACAACTAAAAGCACCAAACCCTCCTACTGAAAGAAGTATCAAGTTCAGATCCTACATGAACAGGCTCCCTGCCAAAGGGAAGGAGCCAGGCACAGAAAACCAGTTTTCAGAGGGGTTTCCTATCAACTAAAATGAGTAGGCACAGAGAGGAGCCATCTTCCTCACAATTCTGTCCAAATCAGCTACAACCTCATTGACACAAACATTACCAGCAGAAGCTGCATCTAACCATGCTTAGTCTCTATCAACTCTGGGCAGAGTTCAGCACATGCTCACAGTTTAATGGGTAACATACCTGTTTCTAATCGTGAGGAATATTGATACAAGAAATACAAATTCACCAAGTAGAGAAATCCTGTTCCAGGTCCCACTGGGAAGAAGAAAGTTGCAGTTATTGGCCGCCAGATCTGTCCAGGGGAAAAGAAGAAGATATATTTACATGCTGCAGAATCAACTCATATGCATAACTTTTTTGTTTTCAAAAAGTTATCAATTACTTGGGTTATTTTTAATCTCTTCTTTGATCTTCCAAGTATAAATTACTGCTGCTTCAGCAGCTTTTATAGTTGTTGGGGTTTTTGAAATCTGATAAGCAAAGCTACTAGGATTACAACAGAAATCACATGAACTTCTCACATCATCACAGTACTGTGATGTATCCCGTTTGCAGTGTGAAAGGGATATGCTCCCAAGGATGCTACCCTGTTCTAAAAGCAGCCACACAAAATCCATTGCTACCTGCTGTGCAGAGGCCAAGGAATACACACAGTGGCCCTTATCATACCCTTCCAGGCTGCAATAAGCATTCAGCACCTGCTTTAGAGTTTCTCAACTATGATTATGAGGCATGACCAACTGCAGGGCAGCATGCAGCGTGGACAGAAAACGTCTGGCCAGTTATGAACGAGCTCTTTAACTTGCAACATTTCCAAACAGAGTGTTGGGATCCTAAACATCACAGTTCCAGAAGGAATAACAGAATCAGAGAAAAAAACCAGTCATTTAAGCTGCTAAATTTAGGAGGCAATATATGAGACAAACTACAGATGGAGGTAGTTTTTATCTTTCTTTTCACTCAGTCTTTTACACTGAAGATATAATAAGCACATTTCATGAAATTCTGAAGGTTGAGATCTTTTCCTTCACTTTCAGTTCATCCAGTGGGTGCCCTCCCCTACACAACTGCATACTAAACCACCGTAACCTCCCAGTGCAAGAAAAAGACTATGTCAAGTTTGTCACTACTTTTGATTTGCCAGTGCACCCAGAAACACCGTACATCTGAAACCTCAGGACCTCAGCTGATAGTTCATGGCAGCCACACCTAGGCACATCAGCTGGCAAGCCCAAACACAAGCTTTTTCAAATTCTCATCAAGAAGGTGCAAAAAATGCACTTGCTTAGCTCTGCCTTACTGTCTCCCAAGCCACAGTTTAGGGCGGCTGCACACCTGCCTGCTCTCAAAGCCACACCCACACAAGGGACGCTGGGCAAGGGACCTGAAGTCTGTCTTACGATTAAAGAGTGCCTTGGCATAAGAACTGATGCCAGGCAGGACAATTACCCCCCCAAAAAATAAGGGAGAAAAGGCACCATAATGAGACGGAAGACAAACTACAAGGCCAGTCAAAGGCCACAGCCCTCCGTGCCTCACGGGAGCCGTAGCACCGAAGCCCGTGTCACCTTGCCGGGGAGCCCGGGGCCTACGGAGGCAGACCCCTAGCTAAACCCGGGGCCCAGCTCGCAGACCCGCTTTAGGCTGAGCAGGGAGGTAGGCCCGGCCT